TCCTCCTCCTCCTCCTCCTCCTCCTCCTCCTCCTCCTCTCAAGCCACTTGGGCCCAAGTTTTTGGGCTCGCTTCTGGGCCTTTCAGCAGGCGCTTGAGATCTCGCCTTCCCCCGGGAAGGTAGCTAACGTGGAAGCATTCAGTCGAAGCCATGGCCCCGCCGCCGCGCAAGCCGCCAGGGACCCGCGGCCCTCCTCCTTGGCAGTCTGTTCACAACGCTATGTGGCGTTGCGGGAAATGCGGCTGCGGGAAAAACATGGGACGTTTCTGGTTCTGCAAGCAGTGTCACAGATTGCGAGCCGAGGTCGACGTCTCCACGCCCAAGCCACCTGGCGGTGTATGGGCGAACGGTGCTGGTGCAGCGGGGCAGGCCCCACCATCGGCGCCTCCTCCTCAGCCTCCTCGCCCTGTGGGACCACAAGGAGGGGGAGGACAACCAGGAGCTGGTGCAGGCCAGGGCGTCATCCGCGACGCTGACCTCACGGATGACGAGATGCACCAGCTCATCTCACTCAACAGGAAGATGGGCAACCATGGACACGCCGCGGCGCTCCAGCAGCGCTTGGACAAAAGGAAGGCTGGCTCGGCACCTATACCGATTCAAGTGCAGGCGAATCAATCTGACCGAGCCAGGAAGGCCTTGGAAAAGAAACTGTCCAACGAGCTGGAGCAATTCGAGAAGTGGCAAACATGGTTGGCTGATAAGAAGAATTCTATTCACTCCCTTCGTCAACAGTTGGTCGAAGAGAATGACCGCTACAAGAAGCTCGTTGCGCAGCTGCAAGCAGAGGTTGCACCACCAAGCTCTCCACCTTCTTCGGCTTCTCTTTCGCTCCAGGACTTACTGGACGGGAAGCAGCTATTCGACGCCACCAGTGTGGAGTCGTTCTTCAACGTGGACCCTGAAGTCTACGAGCTTGGCGAAGAGGACCGCAAGCAAATGGCGGCTCGTGCAGAGGACCTCAGCAAGCGGCTTGTCGAGACCACCCAGTTTCGGGGCGGCGGCCAAGCAGCTCGAGGAGGCCAGGCAGCTGCACAAGTCGCACGTCTCGGGCCTGGCGAAGCGTCGCAAGGCCGAGGGAGCGGCGATGCCTGGTGGTGGTCATGTGGATGACGAAGCTCGTGCGGCGGGACCTTCTCCTGTCGTTCAACCTGAAGATCACTCCGGAGCTTCGGCCAGTGCTGGCGTTTCTGATTCTGACTCGGCCGCCCGCTCCTCTGCTTTGCTTGCCCGCGCCGAGACGGTGCTGGGAGCCGACTTTCAACCACCTGAGCAATCTTTGCCCCCCCACCTCGACTGCCTAGGTCGAAGTGGGGGGGAGATTTGAAGTCACCTGAGGCGCCAAGTTTTTTGATACCTCCTGGTCCCTCGGATCCGTCGTTGGGATGCGGCCCTGGTTTGGGCGCCCGTGGGCCTATGTCAGGACCCAGTTTTGGCCCGTCGTCTGGCCCCCCTGTCCCCGAGTCCGACCAGCTTGCCCTCAGATTCCAGACGTGTAATGCCACCTCCTGGGGGCCATGTAAAGAATGGCTCGCCCGCACATCGGCCCATGTCGTGGCCGTTCAAGAACACCACCTCTGTAGTGATGAGTCGTGTCGCTCGGCTTTAGATTGGTGCCTCAGACATGGCTGGAAAGGCCTCTTCTCGCCAGCCCGTCCTGGAGTCGGCGAAGGAAGCTCAGGTGGTGTCGCCTTAGTCTGCCGATCCTTCCTAGGCCTTCACGACCTCCCTCAGGGGTCGGAATTGGTCCCAAGTAGGGCCATTGCGGGTCTGGTTCATCTCCCTGGAGGGCTTGACCAGCCCATCCTGTTCGCCTCGGTGTACATGCATCACTCCGAGGGGCTGACGGACCGAAATCTTGACATCTTGGGGAAGGTTGGGTCGGCAGCAGAGGTGTATGCTAGTGAATGTTTGGTCGCGGCTGATTTCAACATGTCGCCCGACCTCGTCCAGGACAGCGGGTTCACTGAACGCCTCCATGGGAACCTGATCATCCCCCAGGGCGAGGGGACCTGCCTCACCACGGGGGCATCAAAATGCTCGACTATTTCGTTGCGACGAGTGGGGTCTCGAAGGTTATTCAGTCGGTCGACGCGGTTACCACCTCGCAGCTCGCTCCTCACTCACCTGTCGAAATCGTTCTGTACCCTCGTGCTTGTAAGATGCAGGCTTTCTGGGATTTTACAAACCTCCCCCCATCCCTGCCCAGCGGCCTATCGGGCCCTCTAAACGGCCTCCCCACTGGGGGCGGCCCCAGGGGCAGGCGAGTGCCCTTCTCGATTCTTTGGTCCCAGGGGAACCCGTCGGTCAGGCTACCCAAGAGTTGAGTAGGGTTTACGGGCGCTGGGCTCGTCTGGCGGAGTGTGAAATCGCTGATGCTGCACATATCACCCTCCCGTACTACGGGGCCAGGAGTAAGGGCCCCAAGTTAGTCTGGCAGCCTGTCTTCAAGAGCGGCTCTTCCAAGGGCCGCCACCCGCGTCTGTTCGCCATCAAGTGGTTGTCCCACACCTTTAGGCACTGGCACGTACTCCCTCGCAGTTCGCAGGCGTGTGGCCAGAAAAGCCAGATGCTGCTGGAGATTCCCTCTGAGTTCGCGAGCGATCTGGATAGGTATCAGGCGCTCGTCAAGTCCATTCACTCGTTCGTGTCGATCGTCGCGGCTCCAGGTGGTCGGCTCTGCGTGGAGGATGAAGCTCATCAGGAGCACCTGTCGCACATCCTTGGCGAGCTGGATGCCGCCATAGTCCACGAGCAGTCGGATGCTAGGACTCAGGGAGGGAAAAGTTGGAAGGAATGGCTGTTGACCAACATTGAAAAGGGAGGAAGGAACGCTCACCTCGCTCGCAAGCCTGCTGCGGGCTGGAAGCCTACCACGACCCTCAGCTCGGCTGGGGTTGTGCTCTCTGACCCTCTTTCTCTGCTGGAGTCTCAGTCTTCGCTCTATGCTGAATTATGGGGTGCCAAGTCGACGGGGCCCCCCGCGCTCGATGAAGGTTCGAAAGGTATGTGTAGCCCCCTCCCTTTCTTGCAACCCGAATTTCTCAGGATGATCTCCTCCAGGTACTCCCCCAGGACTGCTTTTGGGCTCGACGGTTTCCACATGAAACACTACTCCTGGATGACCGACGATTGCTTGTACGTCGTGGGCCTAATGCTGGCCATCATGGAAATGACCTCCTCACTCCCCTTCCAGATCCAGCTGGTTCAGCTGGCGCTCATCATGAAGCCGCACGGCGGCTGGAGGCCGATTGGCCTGTTCTGCAGCATGTACAGATTGTGGGGGAAAGCGAGAAGGGTGATAGCACAGCAGTGGGAATTGGAGCATCCTCGAGCTTATCTCGCTGGCCAGTCTTTTGCTTCGGCCAGTGACGTCGTGCGGCGTCAAGGAGTCAGGGCTGAATGTTCCTATCGTCGTGGTTTGGTGGCGGCCACGATTCTTTGGGACTTGTCCAAGTTTTACGAAACCATCGACCTCGGGCTTTTGGAACAGCGTTGCGTGCAACACGGGGCCCCTGTGGCCTTATATCGTCTCTCGATCGCGGCCTACCGAGGGGCCCGGTTTATTTGCATGGCTGGGTACGTCTCGGGCCCGCTGATGGCGGCTCGAGGGGTTATCGCGGGTTGTTCGTTAGCCACGACATGGGTCAAGGTCTACATGATCACCCCTCTTGACTCCTTGAAGCTCGGGCCTAGCGTCCAGCTGGACCAGTACATCGATGATAGCGGGCTGTCTGCGGTGGGCTCCAAGGCCCAGGTCGCGCATGATTTAAAGGAAGCCTCGCAGGGCCTGCACGACGCTCTCACCCTGGACATGAAATGCAAGGTGGCGCCTGATAAGGCCTCTTTTGTTTGCTCATCTGCTGAGGTCTCTTCGCAGCTTCGTCAGTTCCTGGGGCCCCTCGCTGGGCCGATCACGGACAGCGCCGTGAACCTGGGGATCGACGATGCTGCAGGGAGACCCAGACGAGCCGCCAGGAGAGGCCACAAGTTTAGGGTCCGCGTGGACACCCTGAAAGCTTCTACAAAGAAGCTCGTCAAGCTGAGTTGCAGCCTCGGTAAGTATTGTAAGCGTATTTGGGTCTCTGGGACTTTGCCTGGGGTTCTCTACGGGGCGGAGATCCATGGGCTTTCGGACTTCGAGTTGGCGAAGATCCGTCGTGAAGCGGGGCGCGTTCTGAGACCTGGTGCGGGGGGGCGTTCGCTGACCGCCACCCTCCTTCTGAACGATGACCCGACTTGGGTGGGGGCTGTGGCCCCCGTGGTTAGGTGCGCCAAAGAAATATGGGCGCTCCAGACGGGTGCCTATCCCTACACGATCCCTTGGGACCAGTTGAGACTCAGCTGGGAGACCGTGCTCGCGGCGGCGGAACCTAGGTGTCGCGACGTCGGGGAACCCATTAGCGCCATGCGTCTTCTTTCCCTTATTCGCATCAAGTGGTCTATGTCAGATTTCGTCACGATCGTGAACGATTTCGGGGAGACGATATTGCTGACGAGCGTGTCCCCAGCTATGCTGAAGAAAATGTTGCAGCAGGCCTGTCGGCGTGCCCTGGAGCGTGAGGCTTCGGCTAAGCAGGGCCTGTCTTGCGATCGATTGTGTTTCGACATCGCCGATCTCGCCTCCGATCGTCGCGGGTCACCTCCCAGGAACGTGGATCGATCAGGAGCTTGACTTGCGAAGCGCTCTGGACTCGCGATCGGGCGATCAAGGTCGGGTACCGCGGTCTCGAGGATCGATGCGAGCTCTGCGGTTTCACTGGCGATTCGACCTTCCATCGACTCTGGCGCTGCCCTGCCGTCGCCTCCACGAGAGAGGAGACCGTTTCACAGAGTTTGATTGATGAAGCCGCTGACGCGGACCTGGCCGACCCCGAAGTTGCTCTGCTTTTCACCAGGGGTGTCTTTCCGCATCCTGGAGACGTCTTCCCTCGGCCGTCTCGGGAGTTTTTGGATTGTGAATTTCAGGCCAGATGTGAATGGGTTGAGCCTCCCCAGGACGGTGGCACCTTTGATGGCGATCTTCCTTGACGGTAGCTGCTTCCGTCATGAGATTGCCGAGCTCTCGCGTGCTGGATATGGGCTCGTTAAGGTCGACTCTTCGGGTGACAGGGCGTGCCACATCTATGGGCCTATCCACGCCCCTTTCCTC